TTGACCCTCGCCCGTCCATACAGATAAGTGAGAGTAAGCCCTTCCAGCCTGCGCAGTGGATTCTTTAGGTGAGACGCAGCTTGTGCAGAACTGGCCCCACCCTTTAAATCTGAGGTTAACTGGCACGGCCTAGTTAGCTAGGGCAGTGATAGCAAAGTGCTCAGGTCGTAGGTTTTGTAAGTGTCCTTCTCTGATGGAAGACCATACAAGGCTAGACGAGCTCCATCAGCCCGGGTTTGAAGATGGGAGTTTTCCTTCTCCTATGAGGAAGGCCTGTCTTTGCTAACGAAGATTCGGGAAGACCTTTAGCCATGCATTCTGAACAAGACTGTCATCTCCTGGGTCAATCACAAGCGACCAATGACGCAATAGCACAACAAGCATCTAGGCCGGTTCTTAGAGGTGTTCAGTCGTAAGCCCGCAGATGGTAGCCTCGTGCCACTGGCTCCTCAGCCAAGCGCATGCACCAGGGGTCTGAACCTGTGGTTCCTCTCGTACTGAGCAGGATTACTATTGCAACAACGCATCATCAGTAGGGTAAAACTAACCTGTCTCACGATGGTCTAAACCCAGCTCACGTTCACTATTAGTGGGTGAACAATCCAACGCTTGGTGAATTCTGCTTCACAATGATAGGAAGAGCCGACATCAAAGGATCAAAAAACGACATCACTATGAACGCTTGGCTGCCACAAGCCAGTTATCCCTGTGGCAACTTTTCTGACACCACCTGCTTAAAAGCCAAAAAGCCAGAAGGATCACTATAAAACTGCTAAAACACTAAATTCCTTCTAAATGGCTTCTCTGGCCATGTCTCCTCCATCCTCCATGTTTTCTGTCTTTTGATATTACTTTTGATCTTTTTGCCTCTTCTTCAAGGTTCTCTAAAATGCTGTTATTGTACAGAATTCTGTAATACATTCGGATAACAACACAGCATGAAGGACTAACTTTCTTTTTGAGGCAAAAAGATATGATTAAATTTCTGACTTTAATCATATGCTCAAAAGCTCTGTAATCATCATAATCTCACTCAGATCACAGATTTGTGACCTTCTATTTCTTCTCTAGATGGCGCATATATGATTAAAAGTGAATATAGAATTCTTAATGTGTTGAAGATTTTGCTATCAGAGTACGAGTGCACATATAGTTTGTAAGTGACCACTTCCATTCATACTGACAGTGTCCCCAAGCTTTTTGTAAACATCATTCAATCTCCAGCTGTGAGTTTCATTTCTGATGGATATAGGACCCTCAAATATTATCATGAACAGGAAATTGCTGTCTGGCTGTTTCTCACAAAACCCACCGTTCTAGACTTTCCCTCTTCATTACTGAACTATGCATTCAGAAGACTGAAGATGTCATTACTTGATGTTATTAATACTAACCATAGTTTCATGGAAGACATGAGTTGAGTCTTTCAATTTCAGCTTTAAAGGAGCATGTATGCTTTACAAGTCTTTGTGGACAAGAAGACAAACAGAAGGAGGGTGTGACAGAAATATCAACAAACTCTAGAATCAACAGGAAAGAAATAATAAGAAACATGATGTGCCCTTAACATGGGATTAAAGGAATAAAAACATGCTCAAAGAGTTTTTTAAAGGATTTTTTCTGGAACCTGGTGCTCAGTTTTCCTTTATTTGTGAACTGAGAGTTTCCTACTGTGCTTGTAGGAGTAAGTGACGGTACGCAGGAAGTTCTAACACACTACAATGTGTTGAAGTAATATCAACAACAGCAAAATAATGTGGTAGTGTGGGAGCCTCAGCATGCATTCATGCCAAATGGTTCAAGTTGAAATGGAAAATACAAAGATTATTTTTCAGTGACAAAAGAAAATCAATACTTTAAATCAATGCCAGTCATGGGGAACAGTGAGAATAAGTAAGAGAAGACCATAAAGCACCTTTGGGAACACTCAAAAGAAAAATGCAATGAATGTAAAACCATTATACTGAAATAAAAGCCCCTTTTCCCCACAAGAGGATAGATTTGCAAGTCAAAATCAGAAACCATACTGATACTAATTTTTCATGTTTCCACTTCCAGCCACTTTTTGAAAACTAAAGGAAACGTAGATGTCTGAGTTAAAATTCTTCAAAACCCACCAGGTTAATGCCCACTTTTCTTGCCCATCTGTCATAGTTTAGTCTAAATGCCTTTTAACTACTATGCTGCTGTCTGCAGATGTCTGCACATATTGGTTCTGTCCTACCCATATGCCATGACCCAGTGGAAAGGCAGGTGGACTCCTGGGAGAGACAAGAGGGGGTACCCTGGGAAGCACAGCAGTGCCCAGCAGTTTGGACATACCAAGACATACTGCTCACTTGCTGGAATTCCTAAACTCTTTGTAATCCCCTCTTTGCAGATCAGCTGCGACAGAAGTGTAAAGACATAGTTAGCCTGCTTATTTGTTTTATATAATTGAGCAGTTTGGTGCAACATGCTTGTGTGAGACAAAGTGAGTTACAAAGGCTCTGCACAGAGCCTACGAGGTATCTCTGTCTGATTTATTGTTTGCTGAGGAAGAACATGAGACTTGCATTGCTCCACATGCCGTTGCAGTGTACCACCTAGGTCATCAGGGCCCTGACCCGCTTTGTGTGGGAACACGACTGAACAATGTCTGAACTAGTAACACCTCAGAGACCCAGCTAGTCCATATGGAGTGTCTTCCAAAACCCGCATTGGAGAGTTTTTTATGTTACACAACACACATAGATTGCACTCTTTTGTCCATCACTCCCTACTTTAGAAAGCTGGATGTAACTCAGATAGCACAAACCCATTTTATTGGGGTGCCTCTAAAATAGCTAGCAGGTATAAACACCTCAGTAGCCAAATCTGGGAGTTACCCTTTTCCACCACAAGGAATGTGAACTAAAGCAAAGATATCTATTAAGTAGTTTTCTCAGAGTCTACAAGAAATCTGTGCTTGGCCAATAAATCAAACCAAGATTTCCAAAGTCCCTCTCAATTACTCTAGCTGTTAGAATACTTCCTCTCCCTATGCACAGTATAGTACAGAGGAAGTAAATTCTAAATAACACACTACACTGAATAAGTGGAGTTTCACCACAGCACAGACCCAGACCTATGCAACTGTTGAAAAAGAACTTTTAATAATGCTCCCTTTAGTATGTGGAGCAGTAATATTTACAGACCCCAGGGAGGAATTAATAAAACCAAACTTACTGCAAAATTTAATTAAAGTTATACAGGGCAATAGAGTCTTCACTAGCTCCTTCTAAGAACTCCGTCCTTCTCAGGATATTGAATGATGACAATATACTTAGCTAATAAAGGTCAGAAGAATGGAAATTAATTGAATGTGTCCTAAAGGCAAGGTATATATTCTCCAATCTGCTTAACTTTTTCCAAGATTCAAATTTATGCACCATGTCCCTTTCAAGGAAAAAACGCCCACCCAAACCCTTAGAAAATAACTACCACATCTCTCAACTAGACAATGCATAAAGAATGTCTTTAACGTATTGCAATGGCTTTAAATACATGAATTTTTGGAAGTCTACTATCTTTTTACTTTGTATTGACAGAACTAACAATTCATGGTGATAAATAAAGGTGTTTGTGTTAATTCAGATTTTCAAGTTTTGCTTTCTTTAGGAATATTTTGGTCTATAAGAATAAAACCTATTTTCAGTAGTATCACAATAAAATAATATTTGAACACATTTCTTTCCTTTTGACTGCTTTCCCTGGATTGACATCCAGCAACATCACAGATTATTGGAAACCCTGCAGATACTGCACAGAGATGCAGAATGAGAAAAAGCCTGTTAGTTGAACTGCAACTATAAGAAGTTGTAGCACCCACTGATGTGTGAGGTTTACGTTCCCTGGAACACAATTAACTGTGTGTTCACACAATTCCTAAAAGGAGCAAGAATGTAATACTATGTACAAAGGCATACCAGGCAAGTCAGATGATATCTGAACTTTCATCTGGAGGAGTTTTCCTTGTGAGTTCAGCTATGTTTTATCCACTTGCTTGAGACTGTTACTTAAGCATACCACAAATGATATTCCTATTGTTGTCAAAAATAAGAATTAAATTTGGAATTATCAATTAAGAAATATGCTATAATTAAATATATGGCAGTGGTTTAACAAAGCAGAAATATTTCAGAGCAGCTTGTGGAGGGGATGAAAGGTGCTTGCCAGTTTAGTGTTCAGCAATGTACATACTGCCAACAAATACGTGTATTTTAGTTTACACATTAAACTAAACATAACCAAAACTGCCAAAAATAGCAAAATCATGCTATCAGATTGCTGTCGTATATTTGGCTTTCTACTCTGAAGCAACTTTGTTTCATCCAGAAGTAAAAATATCTAACTCGCAAATAAAAACTTGAGCTGCTGTACAATATGCTGTAATAAAAAGGGATTTGTAAAAATGCTCCTTATCTTGGTCTGAATTTGTATAAACAATGAGGATAGAGTTTTACAAACTCTAAGTGTGAATATTAAATCTGGAAGTTTCAAACACTCTACGGCTTACTACCTACATGCCTCTTCCTCTTTCCTCTATAAGCTTATTTTCAGGATGGAACAAGAAAAATGAGATATTTCTGTGTTTATTATGATTAGTCATGCTTCTTGGCATATGTTATTTTATTTTGCAGTTAATAAACAAGCATTTCTGTTGTGAATAACCTAGGAATGGAATCAGCTTGCATATAAAGTCTGAGAGATAAAGGATGATTACTTATTTTATATTTAAAAATCTAAAATCTTTCTCAAAACAGAACTTTCACAAGGAATGTGTCATTCTAATTTTCTCCCTTTCAGTGTGGTGTATCTTTTTTTGTTGATTTTTAAGAACATGCCACACTGCAGAAAGCAATGGATTTAAAGAAATTTATGACTAAAACCTTTGTAGGTATTTCGCAACACAGTCTCCTTATGCCAGTATTTGAGTGGTGCTGGTTACACATAGATTTATTAAAAAAGCAATGTCATACCTGTAGACATGCAGGAGCTCTGCCCTGGGGTTTATTCACATCAACAGCCACAAGCTGCCAACCTCCAGCAGCATCTTCATGAAACATCTTGAAGGGGAAGAATGTTGTCAGAAATGTTTTATGTGCCAATAAATACAAGTGAAAAACAATATATTCCCCTTAAGGACCTGCATGCATTTTTATGATAGCTAGTCTAAAAATAAGAGGTAAATGGTTCTTATTGTTACGGAGATAAAAGAAAGCAACATGCAGTTCCAGCAGTAACAGATTCTGAATTTTACTCAGGTAACATCAAACACAGTGTTCCTATTAGTCCTAATGTAGAAACTAATACAATTAATCTCTGATCAGTTTCATTAGATAGTGGTACCTGTTCAGAATAAATTCCTTACTAAGGTAAACTTATCCTGAGGAAACAAAAATACATTGTGAACACAAAAGAAGTTTCATGGTGCATTTGGAAATAACAGACAACCTTGTCTTATTTACTGGCAAGATCATTTTACTCCAAGGATCAGACTTTATTTTTGTTACACTGAGGCATATCAAGAGTAGCTATAGAGTCCTCCTGTACTGTTACCCAGAGATTATAATTCCTGCAAATAGCTGAATGATACCCAGACTCTAATGATGTAAATGGAAAAGGCTCTCGTGACCCAGCAGTATCCACATTTTACCTCTGGAAGCACTAAGTATAGGCATTTATTTATTTTTTTCCCCTCAGAAATTAAGACATAAAAAGATGAAGACTCCTGGACATAAGGAACAGTGATAAAACATGTCTGGATATGATTAACATTGTCCTTGAAAACATCCTTGAAAGAGAATAAATGGCTTTAGCATTTTGAATTGCAGCCTGAGAGTCTGCATGTACTATGTAACAAAGTGTGGTGAAGTTCTCACATCACTCCCACCTTCTCCTTGACACCCAGCACGCAAACAAGTCACCTCAAGAACACAGCCACAGCAGCATGATTGAAGCTTAAAAGCCATCCTGAAAGCGTTCATTAAACTGGGGACAGTATCAAAATATGGTTACAATGCCCCCAAGTCCTTATTTAGCATCTCTGCACCACAGAGAGTTGTCAAGTCAGCTCAGTCCTGAGTTATTCCTCTTTGTACCATGCTTTAACGTGCAGTGCTAAAGTGCTTTACAGGAACCTCCTTTTACCATTCTCCAGAGACCCCTTCCTTGACTTTGACTCTTGGACACTCCTTTTCTATAGGACTACATTTCAGGATAAATGATTTATGGAGTGGGCAAATAAAAAAAGATATTGTTATTTTTTTCTCAAGGTTATTTCATGCACAAAACAAGGAAGGTTTTTAACTTTCCTCTGGTGCTTTCAACAAGAAAACCTGCAAGAGAACTTCTACCCTTTTTAATACAGAAAAAAAAATGGTTTTTGTAGTTTAGCAAGCTGGAATACCTTTGTGTCCCAATATGCCAGTGGCTCAGCAAAGAAAGCAATCATTTGCTTGTCTGCAGCCAACATGTGATTTTTATTTTGCATGCTGCAATTTATATTCAACATGATCATATTCTCTGGCATAATGACATAATTTGGGGTATTTCTTTTTATCTTTGAAATGCCTTAATGTTGGCTGCTTCTTGATCATCTTGTTCCAGCTTCTAGTTCACGGTATATCAGTTAAGCTTATACAGCTAAGGAATTTGTCCCATCCCTGAGATCAGAGATGAAATGAATATTAAGTTCCTCGGCCTAAGTATGCGCCATGTGGGGAAGTCCCTTTTTTCTTTTCTTTGTTAGATTTTAGATTTATATCACCAAGTCTGTTTTGACAGACATATATAGTGTAGAATTTACTGCCACAAAGTCTATTTGAGGCAGAAAATGTAACAGCAGGCATTTACATATGGATTACAGGAATATCCAGAGGAATATCACAAAATATTTAATAAATAACTTTGAAACACTTAAATCCTCTAGCTCAGAGAAAATAAATAATCTCTAGCTACAGAGGTTAGAAATATTTTCCTCATGGGCATGTCTTGCCTATCTGTCTTTCTAAGAGCTTTTCGCAGACAGTTGGTACTGGTCCTTCTTGTAGAGGGCAAACTGCACTAGCCTGAAAAAGCCTGGCCGTTTGCATGTTCAGGACACATAATATGATTGTTACAACAATGAGTGGGAAAATTTCAATCTCGACCCGTTCGCCCACATTTTTCATACTAGGTCTTTCACACTACACAGCCCACATGTAGCAGCGCCATTCCTATCATGGCTTCTTCCTACCTATTTTCTCATATTCAAGGTCCCACTTTCTGTGGCTACCTCTACAGTTAGCATGGCTCTTTCACCACCTCGGGACCTCATTCCTCCTTGGTCTCAACATGCTCTTCCCAACTCCAGGACCAGCTTCCCCAAACACTTCAGCTACCCTCCGACCTCATCCAGCTACAGCTTGCGATTTCAGCTCTTCTTCCTTAGCCCAGAACGTGATATCCAATAGCCCAGAAAGTGATATTCAATAGCAACCCTGATTCCAAACTTACCAATGACATGATGAGGAAGCATTATCCTACTATTACTATTAAAACAAAATAAAATCATAGCAATAACATACACAGCCATATAGAAAACCGTAGTACAATCTTCTCTATTATTGTTTTTTTAAGAAAACCTAGCTGGATAATATAACCTAGAATTTAATTTTGTATGAAAATTCATGTATCGACTTCAAACTATATGCGGTAACATGCAAAGTCAAATAAATCAGATAACATGGTATTTTTTTGTTATTATTATTATTATTATTATTATTATTCATTCATAAACTAAACCAAATCAACCCCCCAGGAAATCTTATCATCCCAAGTGCTTCACCTGGGTGGTGGCAGTTGAAGTAGTACTGCTCCTGGACCCCCACATCTGCTGGAACTGCACTCTAATTTCTGCGAATGTTTCGATGATGACTGCAATGAAAACATTCTGAAAAAAGAACAAGAAAGAATGGCTGACACAAAGGTCAGCAAGCAGAAAAGAGAAGAAATTCATTCTAATATGATCTACATTGCAGACAGGTTTAAAATAACACGTTTTTCAGTACCTTAACAAGCCAGGCCAGAAAGAAAATTAAGGTGATGAAATAGAAATATGAACGCCATCGGGGAAAACTGTCGATTGCTCGGTACATAAGGAACACCCATCCTTCCTGAGAAGCAGCTTCGTAAACAGTAAATATGCTTGTGCCTGTCAGAGGAAAAATGAAAATGTTTGGCATTAAGCCTCCCTGAAAGTTTTCAATATCAGCAAACAATAATCTTTTATCTGTTATATTTTCCCTTTCTCTAAAGGGTATCAGCTCTCCTCTTTTCCTTCACAGGGAATTTTTCCAGATGAATTACCATGTTTCTTCCTTTTGCAATTGAATATGAATTGGTTTCGTATCAGATCAGACTGACTCCCTTTTCTGCCTGGACACACATGGATAATCCCTTAGATGGATTCACTGACAACCCACAAATGTCTCCAAAGGCAGATTTTGTCTTTTCCTGTGACTTCAGCAGCACCCATGAGAAAAGACAGATTCCATTGAAACTATTGAGCTGTTTCAAAATTCAGGCCAGTAGCCAAGGTAGCGGCATTAACACACATGTGGTGCCTTAAAAAACATTATAGCATTTTTAAGTTGAACTTCCTACATCATCTGGGGAGAGGGGAAGATGAAAAAAAAAAAGTTATGAGGGGGCTTATGTGTTCAGAAACTGCTTTCGAATAAAGGCTATCATGCTACTAATTTTAAACTTAAGATTCAAACTCATCCTAATGTCTGAGTTGTAAGATGCTTCAGCCAGTTTCTCCTTCCTCATCTCTGCAATAAAAGCTTCAAAATAGAGACTGTGGTTAGGGCTTGTATGGCATTCCTGTTTGATGCAATTCTCTGTTCCAAGAAAGAACACAATTAAACTGTGAAATTAAACTGTGAAATCTCACAAACTGCTGTGAAATTGCAGAATTGTCCTAAAGCCACCTGCTAGCTCTGCTCCACCACTGCTTTGCTCCATGTAGTTTTTATCTTGGATAAACAGAGAGCATGAGGAGTGCTGCCCTTAGCAAAACATAGCAGCTGCTAGCAACATACAGATAGCACAAACCAGATGGCTATCTGATTCCATCCACAGGGAAAGGAGGGGTTAGTCAGAAATTCCAAGAGCCCATGAGTTTCACAAAAAAATTACACTAAATCACAGGAGCACTGTGCTGCGGCTCTCCCAATGAAATTGCATCTACGTTGTTTCCTCTGCTAACACAGGCGGGATGAACCTGGAAGTGATTTTGCCTCAGGGGGTGCCTGTTTTGTGGATAAAACTTCACTGATAAAAGAAGACGGGGATGAATGGAATTTTTTCACTCCTTTGATATGTAGGTGTTGAATGGTTAACAAGCTCATGGTGGATAGGCAAAAAATGTTAATCCTCTTTGTTAGTTTTTCTGGTTATTGGATTCCTTCCTATTTACTGCATATGGTTCTCAGGACAAAGGAACAGAAATAAAAAGAAAGAAAAAGCATTCAAGCATAGATAGCAAAACCCTTTCTGTTTCTTCAGAAAAGAGAGTGGTCTCTATCAATAGTGAAATATCCATCAGTGATTACTTCATGGGTATTTTGCATTTCAAAAATTCAAAAAGTAATGGTTCAATTACCTAATATTATACTGTTGCTGAACTGATTAAATTATTGAACAAAACAGTGCTGTTGAGGACAGGCAGAGATTAAGGAGGAAAAAAAAGGAATCTATTAAAAGTTGCTGGCTAGGAAACTGTCATTAGTCATTACCAATGGGAAAGTCACAGTGAAGATTAGTAAAATAGAGGGAATGTCATGCAAAGTATTTATAACACACACACTGGGCCATTTGCCACAGTAAAGCAATACTGTGAATGGACAAAAATGCACAATTAACCCAATTAAAATAACATGTGCTCATCTGTGATGCTAAATTAAAAATATGTCTTTTATATAAATGATCCAGGTGTTCTTAAAGCTATTAGAAAGCAATCACCACTAAGAATGTACATTCTTACTTAACATATGTGACTTGAAAGTAATGAAGTTTTTAATACTGATGCCAGGAACCATACTGTTAACTATCTCTGCAAATACTGTTTCAACTGGAAACAGAATAAAGGAATGACAGTAAGGGATCCAAAACCATGAAATTCTTTGCAGTCAAAAAGAAGAGTAATTCTTAGTTAACATCTGCCTTACTGCAGTTTTTGCTCTTTTAAAAGTTACATTTACCATCAGCAACCGATTCTATTTTTTTCTAAGTATCTTTAATATCTGACTCCATCTTCCTAAAGCCAATGCCTAAGTTAAGAAAGAGACTGTCCTTTCACAGCAGCATTCTGTTTTTCGTACCATGTTCAAAGCCATACAGAGGAAGAGAAAGTATCAAAGTTCTAATGGTGGGATACATCACAAAAAACAAGACATGAGACCTAACTTTCTGACCCATAGATCAAATGGCAAAATTCTCCTTTTCCACAGGCATCGGTATTCTATCTACCAGTGACACAGTGTCTTCTTCTACTAGTTCAGAGGGCTTAAGTCCTGACCACAGAGTGCTAAGGGTCCAATGGTTAGGGCATAAGAGCATAGGACCTCCTGGAGTTGGTCTAAGAAAAGCAGGAATATGGGTGGCAGGGTGAATGAGGGCTTAGAAACCCTGTCATCTTTTGCCAATGTCCTGAACATTCAGATCAAGATTTGTGCAGTCTAACTACAGGCATCAGCAAGACATTTCAGTCATGAAAAAGCTCTGAACCATGAAAAGGGTTAAACACAGGACTATAATCATAGCATCACAGAATAGTTAGGGTTGGAAAGGACCTTAAGATCATCTAGTTCCAACCCCCCTGCCATGGGCAGGGACACCTCACACTAAACCATTTCACCCAAGGCTTCATCCAACCTGGCCTTGAACACTGCCAGGGATGGGGCATTCACAACCTCCCTGGGCAACCCATTCCAGTGCCTCACGACCCTAACAGGAAAGAATTTCCTCCTTATATCCAGTCTAAACTTCCCCAGTTTAGGCATACTGGCATGGGTAACTTGCTGAATTTGAGAGTAGGACTTCACCATCTGCATCTAGAGTATTGTTAAATCTTAGTAAATAAAAATATCCAGAAAATATTTACAATGATTTTCCTATTTGTCTCAGTATATGGCTAAACCCGAGTGGCAAGGCAAATTAAAGTCATTCAGGAGGAACTTTCTGATGACAACAGAGGTAAAATAAAGGAATATACTTTGAATTCATTTCCTTTTGTTTGACCTTGTCTAATAAATTCCACATTTTTAGGTTACAATAAAACAAATCCTTTAACCATACTGATAGCTAATTAAAACAAGGAAAGAAAACATTTCTCAACACAAGATTAAAACTAAATAAATCCATATCATAACATGTATCAGTCTCAAAAGACTGCTTTTATGCAACCAGTAAACACTACTACCTTTGAAAATGGTTTACAGCTGCACACAGTCGTTATTAAAAATGAAAGAAAAGCAAATGAAAGATTCAGTGAAGTATAAGAAAACAGACTGAATCTTACTCAACTTATGCAACATTTTCAGTTGCTTCATACAGTATAGAAGACAGCAATCAGAAACTAACTGTATCCCTCTTACTAATAAATGTTTAGGTACATTGGCATTCAGCACTGAAATGCAGGGGGCTTATGCCTTCTTCAATACATGTTTATTTCAGTTCTATCAGCTGGGAGCATTAGCCTGAAGGGGCATGGAGGATGTAGTTGCTGTAACACCTAAATTGTTATAAGAAGATTCTACTTGTTTCCATGCCTAATCAGGGAGCAAAGTCACCTGGCTCTTCTGGGCTGTAGAGATGAACAGAGTACCAGGGAAAAAAGAATTATAAGAGGCAGAGCACATAGGTAATGATTTTCCATTTCCATTACCTATTAGGGGAGTGAAGAAACCTACCCTGGCAAAACCCTATCTTTTAAATACCTAAAGAATATAGAAGGTATTTATTTAAAAGAAATTACTCATGGTTGATAGAAGAATAATAGCATCATTATTTTACATACTGCATTTTGTATTTATGTATATTTTGTAAACAGGCAAGATTTTCTGCTTGTTTCTATGCCTCTGTGACACTACCATGCTCTGTGACATCAGCTCTTGCTATCACCAAGTCATTCAGTGAATGGACATCATGAAAAAGGAAGTGTGCTGAATAATGCTGCAATTTTATAACTGCACAATTAAAGGAGAAGAGCTAAAAGGTCATGTAGAAAATTCACTATATCTGGAAACAGAACCTTTTCCTCCTAACATGATGTGATGTTCTTGCTTCTTGATTCAATATCTCATAGTATTACAGGAAAAGAATGCATGGTGGTGAGAAGGTGTCTTTTATTAATATCTTTGTGCTATGTGATTTGTAGGTGTTCCAAGTGAGAAACAATGAAAACTAAGCTTAGGTATGCCATCAACTCCAACATTTTCTGCATGCATAATCTATGTCTATTGACTACATTGGTTTACCATGTCAGCATTCACCCAGTTTTCTTGTGCCTGCTGTGAAACTGCCAAGAAAGAAAACCTACAGAAAGTCCACTTTATGTAAATGAAAAAAAAAGGTAAAATTCTTGATTTTTTATTATTTTCTTTCTTAGTGAGGAATTTTTCGGGCAAGTACAAACGTTATTAAAAGCCTGAAATCCTACATATTGTCACCCATAAAATGCTTCATATGCCAGCCCGGCAACAGGCTCCTTCTCCTTACTCTCCAGTGACCACTAGATGGCGATCGTGCACCTCGGGCACATCTGCAACATCAGGAAGAGGGGAAGCCACCACCCTGAGCGTACAGGGTGATAACCGCCCGCTGCGCTCGCAAAAGGATTGATTTTTCTATTCCCCGGCAAAACTAAGCAGCCTTCTAGCAGGCGCTGCTGCCTAATTTAGCATTCTTTGTTGTGCTGAATACTGTGCCTTCCTTAAGATGTTTTTGTGAATGTTACGTCCATAAAGAAATGACCTTTTGCTTAGCTATATGGAAATGTTGCCAACCCTGTTTCTGTCCTTGCTCACTTTGACTGATAAAATCATGAAGCTGAATGCTCCTGCAAGGCATGGATATTCCCACTGACCAGTCAGCTTTTAATTATGTCTTACCTTTCAGTATCAAGGTGTTTGCACAACACTGCATGCA